CTGGATAAATGACAATATCACTTGTTTAAAAACTGAGTTCACTTGTAATTAAAATGACAGATTGTTATGGGTTGGATTAATATAATTTTATAAATGATTAAATTATATTATTGGGGATTTGTTTATTTATGATTATTTTGGATATGATAATATCACTGGTTTAAAACTGAGTTATATATATATATTTTTTTTAATTGTATTTTTTCTTGTGGATTATTTCTGATAATTTTGGATAAATTATAGTATAACTGGTTTCAAAACGGAGTTAACTTGTTTTGTTGTTGTAATTAAAATTAGAGGGATTAATATTGATTATATTATATTATATATTATATTATATTATTGGACAAATAATAATAATAATGCATTAATATATTGTGGATAAATATACAATAATACGTTCTGTTATATTTAAAACCTACATGAATTTTTTTTTATGCATTAGATCAAAGAAAACAGCTGAGTTTCTGAGAGATGCAGTGGAGATGAGACTGCGGATGTTGATTCCTTATATTGACACATGGCCTCGGGTATCCTCTGCCTCATGCAAACTCCCTTTAATAAGCAATAATTAATAAGAAATGATGGATGCCCTCAGTGTTGTGTCTCTTCTGGCTTTGCAGGCCATGAGCATCCTGCTACTGCCCCACAACATCCCCGACAGCCTGAAACACCTGTCCACGATGGTGGATGACATCTGGTACTACGCAGGCGATCGCTCGACGGACGTGAGGGGCTTCTTTGATCCCACTTGCTACCTTCTTCTATGCTTTGGTCTGCTCATCCACCTGTATTTCTTCTGCGTGTTTCTTAGGTCAACTGGTACACAAGGCGGGCGGCACTGACAGGGATCTATAACACCACAGAGCTGGTGATGGTGCAGGACTCGTCTCCTGACTTCGAAGAGACATGGGCCTTCCTCGATAATCGCATAAAGGATGTAGTTAACATGGCGAACACGGCTAAACAGGTTAAAGCGGTCTTGCTTTCCATAGCTAATGAGAGGCATACAAAAAATACATTTGTGTTTTTTTTCCTCCTGATATGTAATAACCAAATGTTATTATTACTAATATACTGGATAATGTTTGTTCTAGGTGCAAGCCACAGGAGAAGCCGTGGTTCAAGGACTCATGGGAGCCGCAATTACGGTAACCAGGCTAAAATGATACAATTTTCAGCTAGTACCTAGTAACTAATACCAAGTCACCTATTATGAATGGTCTGTATTTCAGTGATTATATGAAAAAAGTTTAAGTCTAGCAAATACTTCATTTGTATTTTATATAATTTTAAATTAATTATAAATATTAATAATTATTATAGATTTGAATAATGATAAAAATATGCATTAATATAATATAAAACAAATATCATATAATAAATTAATAATAATAATATTTTTAATTAATAATTTCCCCTTTTAATTTAGGAAATACTTATTTAATGTTTTAAATTAAATATTTTGACGTTTCATTTTAGAACATTAAAAAAAATCACTGAAACCAATGTTAAAATGTTTAAAAATGTATTCATTTATTATTTGTTTATTTTGTTATTTAATTCTAATAGTAAGCTCTCTTCTCACTCAGCTGAAGAACCTAACAGGGATGAACCAGAGACGATGAGTTACTTCTGATGCTCCTGCCTTCATTTTTTTCACATCTTTTACACACTGAGTGACCCCTCGGCCACTCTGCATGAATGTCTAATACCTCAATCACCCACTCTAAACCAACTAAACAATTTGAAATGATCACAATGAAAGGGTTTGTGTTACGATATAGGGTGGATTATCATGCCCTTAGCACTTTTAAATGGGTTAGCTGTGCCATACCCGATTCCTCTGTCTGTATCTTAACCTGAGCCCAATAAGGAGCACAGTTTCTTTTCCGGCATTTCTATGCATTTGTAAAAAGAAAGAATATAAATGTAAATTGTATTCGAGAGTCCTATGTTCATACGGTTTGTGTCAGACTCACTGGCGAGTCCCTCATTAAAAGAAAATAAAGGGTAGCCTATTTACTGAAGTGTCTTAGTCTGTTATTTTTGTTGCTGCAGAGTGAATTCTCATATTAAATATATCTCATTAATAAATATTACGGTTTACAGTAGTACCCATAACTTAGTGAACATGATATTTTGAGATAATACCATAATGACTTAATTAGTGAGCGGTAACAATGCATTTCGTTACATGTCCTTAAAAAGACCCTCAAAATATGACGTTTAATCTAGCTTGACGCAAGAAGATTTCTCACGGTTTCCGAGGACCTTTATTTTTAACCGGAAATGGTACTATAGTGAACCGGATGCTAACGGAATGAGGGCAGCTAGTGACCAATGAGCTTCTGTCGTGTGTTATTGTGCTGAAGAGGCGCTCGATGCTGGAGCTTACTAACAACAGACCGCACATACAGTTATTTTATTTATTAGCATCTTAATCTTGAGCCTAATTTCGCTATGCCGTATGCCAACCAGCCCACAGTGAAAATCACGGAGCTGACGGACGAGAATGTGAAGTTTGTGATCGAGAACACGGATCTCGCGTGAGTGATCCAACGATCAAAACGATCATTTAGCGTTTAATTAAAGCAAGTGTGTTATATTAATGACATTGAAATGCATGTTTATTTTGTCACTAACAAAAATATGTTTTTAAATTTCGTCGGAGTAACGCAAATACTGTGGTAACTTAACTTATATACATCTGGTAAGAGCCATGCTGTGTATAGTACCGTGGTATTACTGAACTGATGCCATCACTTTACCATGGTACTGCTATAGCCCTTAAAAAAAAAAACTTTTTAACAAAAGAACAAACTGTTTAAACTGTGATGAGGCTAATGTTCAAATTTTATGGATTTTAAAAAAGTGTTTCACACATTTTTACGATGTGTGTGTGAGTATGTATGTATGTATAAATATATATATTTCAAATAAAAAATATTATTTGTTTCAGGGTGGCAAACTCAATTCGACGTGTATTCATGTCAGAAGTTCCAACCATCGGTAAGAATCAAACCATCTGTCTTCTGGCTGCTGCCAGAAATATGTGTGTTTTTATACAACAACACGACAAAAAGTTGATTTAATTATGTGTTTGCTTGATTTAATTATGCACTTTGTCTTTTAAATCTGTTAATCTGATGTAATGTGCTTGTTTGCCAGCTATCGATTGGGTTCAGATTGATGCCAACTCCTCTGTGCTCCATGATGAATTTATTGCACACAGAGTGGGTGCGTATGTACAAAATCTTTCCAAATCTTTCATTTCACTCTTCTTATTGTGCTAAGTGCTGTTATCATGCTCCTCTTTTTTTTTAGGGTTAATTCCACTCACGAGTGATGACATTGTTGACAAGATGCAGTACTCACGAGTAAGTGTATTAAACACCCTGCCAGGGTTTCTGTTTTTAGAAGAACTTCTGAATATGACTCATCTCATTAAATGTAGGGAACTGAAACATAACATTTTGCTTTCTTTGGTTTCCAATTAGGACTGCACATGTGATGATTTCTGCCCGGAGTGTTCGGTTGAGCTCACGCTGGATGTCAGATGTACAGAAGACCAGACGCGACACGTGACCTCACGAGATCTCCTGTCCAATAACCCCCGAGTCATCCCTGTACGTGTATTCTCCTCACAAACTCACACATACACACTTTGCTTTTTCTGAAGTGATGTATCTTGTTCTTCAGGTAACATCCAGAAGTCGAGACAACGATCCCAATGACTATGTAGAGCAGGATGGTGGGTCAAATTCCTCTCTGATTTTCTGAATAATCACTCAGATATATCAGTGTTGATGATTTGGGGATTTCGCACAGACATCCTGTTGGTGAAGCTCAGGAAGGGTCAGGAGCTGCGTCTCAGGGCATATGCTAAAAAGGGTTTTGGCAAGGAGCATGCCAAATGGAATCCCACTGCAGGGGTGGCATTTGAGTACGACCCAGACAATGCACTGAGACACACGGTGTACCCAATTCCACAGGAATGGTATGATTCTTATGGCTTGTTTTGATCCCATTAAACACATTAAATAAGTATTATTTGTAATCAGGTACACAGAAAAAAACAACTTGTATTAATTATGGTTATATTTTTATTCTAATTTATGTAATCTTCATATATTAATTTTGCTTTTTACTTGTCAAAATATTTTATGTATAATTATGTACCTTTGCTCAATCGTCAGGCCTAAAAGCGAGTATTCAGAAATTGAAGAGGATGGAGTTGAAGCTCTATATGATCCTAACGGCAAGCCAGAAAGGTAAGGAAGTTAAACCCATACATACATAAGCATTTATGCATGGGAATTGTTGTCTGAATAAATAATCCTGTTGCACTTATCCACTTAAAAACACATTTTAGAACTGAAAAATTTATATTTACTACACAAATAGAATATGAGATTTTAATTTGTAAATCACATTTTTAAAGGTTCCCTCATATATCCAGGTTTTCTGTGAACTTGTGAAACCTGTGGTTTTGTTTAAAATGATCTATTAATTATTAACCATTTCATTGTCATGTTATACATTATGTGCTTGCAAGGTGAAGAACACCATGCAATAGAGGGTTAATACAAAAAAAAAGGACATGTTGATACAAATACATGATTACATGACTTTTTTTTTCATCCAGGTTCTATTACAACGTGGAGTCCTGCGGTTCACTTCGGCCTGAGACCATTGTCATGTCAGCTTTCGCTGTACTTAAGAAGAAACTGAGCGATCTGCAGACACAGCTCAGCCATGAAATTCAAAGTGATGTGCTCACCATTAACTAAACTGTTAAAATACTGCTTTTTGGATCACACATTTAGGAAAATATATTTTTTCAGCTGTTATGTTTTTGCATGAAACTGTATTATGGTGGAGAATTCTATGAATAATAAACACAAACATACTGTTGTTTCATTACACGAGTTGCACAATGTCGAGAAAAAAAAAAAAACTATGAACACCAGAGGGCAGAGTTTGTGTGAAAAATATATCAAGAGGCCAGTGTTGCCAATTTAGCAATTTTGTTGTTAGATTTAGCAACGTTTCAGACTACCCTATCAACTTTTTCTTCCAAAAGCACCTAGCAACAAATGTAGCTATTTTTTTAAAATGTATTTGGCAACATTTAGCAACTTTTGATAAGTGACTCAAACGATAAAAAAGGCACACATTTTCCATCTAAATTACACAAAAAGAGGAAACCAAAGGTGCCTAGCAGTACACAATTCACATGAATTAAGTTGGCTGCTATTAGCAATTGTTTAATGTAATAATAATAATAATTGAATAATTGTTCATTTATGATACACCTTGTTAGTAGCTTGTACTTGAGATTGTTGATCAGTTGATCAAGAAAAATATCTAGAAAAATGAAAAATGTAGTAATTTTCCAGGACATTATCCGTTATCCATTGTAACCCTGTAACCCGAAAACACAAAATACAATGCGTAATTTAAAATGTGTGAATAATAATTACGGAAAATTCCTTCATATTAATAGATTTTGCCCTATTTTTACAGACTTTTCTTAGAGTGTAGCATACGAACTACTAATACACTGCTTAAAACTATAACTGTTCAGAATGAGTAGTTTTACTAATTTACTAGCTAATAAAAATAAACTTAAATTGTAATTGTTAAAAAATGTGAGTGTTTAATAATTCAATGTTGTATTTAAAATTAGTTATTTACATTTTAATATTATATTATGCATTTATTTTATTTTATAAACACATCTAAATTAACATATTTACTTCTTTTTTTTGCTGAGATTTGATGCAGTGACAATTTTGCATCGTGATTACGCAATGACGTCACCGCGCAATGACATCGCGTCATTTAGCTTCAAATCAATCTTCCTTTAGCAACTTCCCCTGAAAATTAGTTGGCAACACTGCAAGAGGCTATTCTGTTGATACATGAAGAGACAGCGTGTATGGTCATGACAGAGCATTGAACAGCATGCCGATAATGGCAACATTTTATTTCTAGACAAACAAGCCCTGAAATGGATGTAACAAGTTTACAGAAAACCGCCTCAAGACAAACTGAACCAAACACATGGAAGGAACAAGAGCTACGTGAGTACGAGAACAGATTGTGCAATCATGTTTATTCGTCCCGTAAATTTTGGTTGTTTCAAATACATAAGTATCGAGGGATTTGGAGGAAGGTGCAGTCACAAAAACTTCTCTTTGATTTTAATCATGTATTGTAGTTAAGCACAAAATTACAGCAACATAGATCAAGTGAATGCATTCCTCACAAGAAGTGTGTGAGAGACAACTATGAAAAAGAAACAGAACTTGTAGTCCAACTCTAAGTCAGGACCTACTGGAAACTTCTGCGTGTCTTCATATAAAATGGGGTTTCAAAATCGAATTCTGCGTACACAACGATTCAGTGCTACCACTGTCATTTGCCAGAAAAATAAAGTGTCAGTTTGCAGTTATCGTATGGTGTAAAAGTGCGGTCACATTAGCGATATTTCAGCGAAATTTAGTGGGCAAAAAGGTATAAAATGGTAAAAAATTGTCAGTTATGTAGCGATGCGGCTGTTCTCACACATTCCAGTAAAGGCCACGTTCACGCAGCAGCAGAATACGGTTGTCAGTACTATATTTTAGTAATCAATGCGTTCACGCACATTTTGGTCATGTTGTAAATTTTCAGGACTTTTGGTGAATCCCACACCTGCTGTGCGAACGAAACCGTACTGAGCGTGTTTTCATGTGTAGTTTCGGTAACTCACAGAGATACAGATATATGAGCTCAGTTGTGTGACGCGTGAAGTTTAGATCCAATCACCGTCCTCCATCTGAGCTGTTCCCAACAGTTTAGTGGTCAGGTCGTTTTGTCGTGTCAAATGTCGTCGTCTCATATATTAACTTTAGTCATTGTAAGTTGATATTCACAAATATTGACTTAAGTTACACGTTCCTGCAGACAGTATTCGAGCCTCTATTGTAAGCTGCTGTGTGGACGGGCTATTTCGAGACTCACACTTGTAAGTAAATGCGGCTTGACAGCTATTGACATGACTGCATTTCGCCCGCGAAATTTCCGAGCAACAGTATCTAAATGTGACCGCATCAAAAGTGGCCTAAAATATGTGCTCGTTTTGTTTTTCAAGTATACACACCACACAAATCTACATTTGAACTTCTTTCTTTAATTACATAATCTAAAAGAAGCAGGTGACAGCCATTATCTCATTATTTTTCATATCTTCTAATTCACTGAGACCTATGTATATGTAAAGTTCATAATATTATATACTGTACTGTGGAATACTGGCAAAGAAAGACCAAACAGTGTTCTTTAAATTTGTGTATTGCTTCTCAACTGATACCACATAGATTTTTGGCACACCACATATTAGAGTTAAATGTCATAAAAATTTAATAAATATTTATATAAATCTTTAAAATACTGTGCTGTTTCCTAAAATAAGATATATAGAGATGATAACTCTAACTCCTCTAAGGTCGAGAGATAAGCAAACATATATATAATTTATTTCTGAATCTCTTCACTGCATACTTTAAACGGCCATAACTTCATTTCATTCACAGCCATTCTCTATTTCATTTATCACCTTTCCCTCAGTTCTGACGTTACCCACAGTGCTTTGAATTTAATACTGAAGGTGAAATGTATAATGCTGGCTGTTGCTTCGTGTCTCTGTGATGTTTTAATCACAAATATGAATATTATATCTAGTCCGATTTCATACCTGTGGGATTTTTTCACATAGTATGATGAAATTGATAAATCTCTGAGAAATGTGTCTAACAATGAGAAGATCACAACTAAACTTCAGATGACCTAGATATGTTGTGGTGTGTCAAACTGTAACAGGAATAGGCACACATTGCAGTTACATGTTTAAATTAATAACGTAGTGAGACAGCAAAATTATAATTTCTTCCAATTGTTGAGCAAAGCAAAAGGATTGCAGGACATAAAATGAAAAGGACAAGTAGAAGCACTTTGATTTTTGATTAAACAGGAAAATGAAAGTTTACACTTTGTGATCTCGCTTAAAAATTTGTTGTAGACAGTTGCAGGTTTAGTTGCAAAAAACAAAACAAAAAAGTCCAAATAAAATTTAAATCAAACTACTCAACAATTTACAAATATGAAGTCCTGTATTAGTTACAATTGACGACATTGATATGTATAGATTAAGGAGGTTTCCTGTAGTTTTCTGTACGTTCCTTTTTACCACCCAACAATCAAATGATTTAGCTAATTATAATTACAAAAAATAAATACAGTACATAAAAATAAATTATTAAAAGAAGAATTCACATTTTTAAAGCAAAAGACAAATACATACTGGCCCTTTCAGAGTGATTGTGTCAGCGTTCAACACAAAGCTGTCAAATTTGACAAAGCAGAATTGTCAGTTTATACTTCAATTATTTTCCATTCACCCATGAAACTAAACCTCAATATTTCAGATCTTATGTGTTCCTGTGAAGACCCATTATTCCAAATCAAACCTGCTGGAAATTAATACTGACTAGCAACGCTAAGCAACAGCGCAAAACTAGTGTTGACTAAAGGTACAAATAAAATGTTGGTGGGAATGCCGTAGACCTCCTTACCGTATGGAAGACACCTAATAGTAAACCACAATTCAAAGAGACCCAAGAGAATTGTTGATCATTCAGACAAACATCCAATGTTAGCGTATTACGAGACTTGAAGATTCAAAATGGTGGAGAGACCTTTTGCTTGCTACGGTTACGTTTGTTCACATGTAGGGAGATTTGACCTCTGTGTTTTCAAGTGACCACGGCCCTTCTAGGACTGTCAGGGAATGAACTGAGGGACATCTAAATGCCCGCTGATCACATCTCCGAGATTCATGTACCTCTTGGTCAAAGGTGTAGGAGGAAAAAAAAGCAAGATATTTATTTCATAGGCAGCTGATACATAGACAAAGGTTCCCTTTTTTCCTGAAGAAATATTCTCTGTAGAATGGTCTTAGCAAAGATAGAAAATGGATCCCCAGCTCTGCTGGTTTCAGTGCATTCAAAGGAGGCCAAAGTCCTTAAAAGCCAAAGGATAGTCAGCTCATGTTTGTAGTTTCCATACAGTGTGTTGGCTTCAATGTCCTCTCTGGTGCCGGAGCTCTTGGAACAGAAACACAGGGAACCGCTTGTGCTTACGCGGATATTTTGAACGCTCGAGTTTCTTCAGGATGTGAGAGTTCCTAAAATCCACCGAAAGCATGATAGGACAACAAAGTGTTCAAATTAGTGAACTGAAATAAGGGAAGAGGGAAAAAGAAGCTTATGAACAAGATGCGCGGAGTCCTGGTGAGGACATCTGCCCAGTCTCATCTGTCCAAGAGGACTTTCAGCGCTCGCTCGATGTTCATTCTGTGACCCACACGAGTCACGCCCAAGTCGATCAGATCCTCCTTTTGCAGGTTGGGCAAGTGGCTGCCCTCGATATCATTGTCCATAAAGGCATCCCTGTGCTCGCCCAGGTTCAGGCTCTCAAGCCAGTCGGCCACGTCCTGTTTGCTCCACATGAGGATGGTTTTGGTGGCAAAGGGCTTGTTCGATGCAGCCTGGATAAGGGTGAGCGGAGAAGGGGAGCGGCTACGCCCCGTGCCCAGGCTGAGGGGTGGTGTGGGCAGACCAAATACGTCCGTCATGGTGGGGGAAGTGGCTGAGGTCGGAAGGGAAGAGGCACAGCTGAGACCAGAGTCCGGCGGGGACAGGATAGGGCTCGGGGTGTGGTGGTGGGGAGGCAGGCTCTCGGCCTGTCGGCACGGCGACGGGGCAGGCACGTTGGGGCCAGGCTGGGCAGTGAAGGTAACGGTGGTGTTCTGCTGTGTACCTGAGATGAGGGATACACCATCCTGATTTCTGCAAAGACAGAAGGATGAAAGTGAGGAATATGTATTAAGTTTGAAAACATATGAGACTCAAGGGATAATGTAAAACTACATTCCTGCAAAAGATGCTAGGGTGTTATAAGGGGTTGGCAGAGCATTGCTATGTGGTTGCTAGGGTGTTCCGGGTGCTTACTGGTCCAAGTTAAAGTCTGTATGATATGGCTGCAGGTCCTTCATTCTTGTTTTGTCTGTTTCATTGTCCACCAGGTGAAAATCATAAGTCCAGTGTTCTCCTCAACAAACTGCATTATAACTAGAGTGATGATATGAGTAATACTTCTAAGTAATGAAGCCTGAGAAAAAAAACTGCATAATTCATAATTACTGAACAAAATTTTACTCCGTCGTTTCATTTTATTGTATAACTTCTATAAATTAAACATTTTTTAGTTTACATTTGTGTTCGTTTTTTTAAAATCCTATAGCTCAAGTGGGACTAAATCAATTTCATTCAATTGTTGACCTCCTCTGGAAAGGTGCCTTTATGGATGGGAGAGTTGAGACCAGAGAATAAGAAAGAGATCCTTACACAAGACATAAGCCTACCCGTACAGCTCTTTATGGGTGAATCTCTCAAACCATGTCTCACCCATGATATAGTATTTGTAGTAGTTAATTTTATTTATGCTGATTTTTGTCCCAACAGTATGATTTTTATTACTGTATTACAGTAAAGAGAAAACAGAATTAGACTAAAATGTGTTTAATTATCGTTAAAATAATGCCACAATAGAAAAAAATCCTAAAAGTACTAAAAACAGCATAATTTTCTTTATGCAAATTATTATTTTTTATTATTATTATATTAGGGTAAAATATGACTTTTACATTTCTTTGTGAGATTCACCCTCACGTCTCATGTACACAGTTTCTATTTATGTAAAGATCAAAGAGTATTGAAAGTATGAGTGTACTGTAGGTGGTTTAGCTTTAAGGAGGCTGTGAATGTGAGGCTCTTTAGCAATGCAATGTCCTTGCCCCAGGTTTCTCTTTATACCCAAGGTGTATTGGCCTACATTTGTTCAAGTAAACTTTTACATTTGCATCTGATGTAGTACAGCAAATAAAACCAATAATGGACTCCTGTAAAATCTAAATTGATACAAAAAAAAACATCAATAACATAGGGCTGTGCAAATAATCGAATGCGATTCATTGCCAATTTTGAACGCGATATTGTGTAGCTTGTCAGTGATCTACGGCTCTGTAGTAAATGCCGCTCCATCTGAACGCACATGCTGGAGATTTACTACTAATCAAAGAAACCGGCTTTACTGAGGAGATGCGCATGAAAATCGCATTCGATTATTTGCACAGCCCTACAATAACAATATATAACACATAAGTTACACTCCCAGCCATGGTCTTAAGATTAAACATATCTCAGTTAATTGATTTAAATAAGAAACATGGTAACCTTACACACTAAAAAAATCTATTTCTATTCATAGTAAAAAGAAAATGCATCTTTGCTCAGTGTAAGTTAAACATAGCACTCTGCCTGGGCTACAAATGCATTTTAGGGTCAGTTCTGTGGTCTGTAAATAACAACATCATTCAATAATGAATGAGACTTGGGCTCCATGCAAACCATTGCCTGTGCAATTTAGCAACCATCGGTATACACAACCCAAAATAAATGACACATAAGCTTCAAAACCTAATGAGCTTTCTCTGTAGGAATCATCAGTGAAAAAAATGTAAGGTGGGGAACGACATGAGAAATATTGATTAAAAATACTCTTAATACAATGATAAATTCTAAAAAGTATTGATAAAAATACTTAAAACAATAGTAAAATGTATTGACAAAAATCTTTAAAAATAGGCAATTTTAGCCAAAACTTTGGAACACATGTTTATTAATGCATTGTGCTGTTGTTCTGTATTGAAATCAGTTTAACGTTTTATTTTGTGAAACTATGCACAGCATTCAAAATCAGTCACTTATGAGGTTCCATTTGAGTTAAGATGCAGCCATAAAAAAGCTGCCAATGTTGGTAGTATAGCAGCTCAATAGGTTTTCTGAAAATTGGAACTCTTTATAACCTTAAAGGAGTAGTTCACTTCCAGAATGAAAATTCTGTCATCATTTACTTACCCTCCACTTGTTCCAAACCAAATATCTTCGTTTGTGTTCAACAGAAGAAAGAAACTCATACAGGTTTGGAACAAGTGGAGGGTTTGATGACAGAATTTTCGTTCTGGAAGTGAACTACTCCTTTAAATGTTTTAGTCAAAACGAAATATAAAAGTCCTTTAAGATATTGCTTAAGAGAATCTAGGGATGTCTTGTGGGAGCAGTTTGGGTGATGTGACAACTAAGCAACAAATGAACCATGTTGTAACAACACGTGCACACACACACACCTCCCCCCTCTGTGGTACGGTCTGTGTTCATCATCACACTGACGTTGCTCAGCTCGTCCTCAAGGCTGTTCTCATTATTGGGTTGCTAGGCAACTCTTTCGTTCTCCAGCAGAGCACACACACTAATCTGAGAGCCTAAATGTAAGCCTGTGATCCAGGAAGGAAAGAGGGCATACCTCGTTCCGAAGTGAGTCCTGGATCCTGTCGGAGAGTCTAATGCTTCCCCTGGCTTTGGTGCTTTGTCCTTGGTTCACATGCTGCAGAACTGAATTGGCTTCTGGGCCATGGGATCCTTTCATCTCCGGAGGGTCTCCCCACAGCTTTGAGGTTCGTTGCGTTGGGGTTTTCAAGGGTTCTGGTGGAATTGATCCAGGGGGCGGAGGTGGGACAGAGGAGGGCATTCTGAAAGAGCTCATGTTCTCCTCAGGCAAAGCGTCCTTGTAAAGTGCATTGCTCTTGATGGCAGGTTTGGGTTTTGGTTTTGACAGGATTTGAGACCTGTCCACCAGAAAGGCTTGTCCATCTGCATAGACAGTGCATGTGTCCAGAGTCTCGCCTCCTTCAGAAGACAAGGTTGAGATGCTGGACACAGTAGAGATGGTGCTGGTGGTCTCGAGTTGGGGGTCACCGCTGCTCCGGCTGTCTACCTCAATGCCCGAGTCAGTGATTTGTTCATAGGGCTCTAGCGGCCCTGGATGGAAGCTGGGAGGTGTGCAGTTTGTGAGGACCGTTGGTCTTTTGATTTCGGAATTCCCACCACCTAACGGGGGATAGTAGGGAGCAAGAGAAGGTCCTTTTGTACCATTTGTTTTCTGTTTGAGCAGTTCAGCTATAGTCCCCGCCTGGTCTTCAGGAATGTCAAAACTGTTGGCAAACTCCAGTGGGGGTGGTAGGGGTTCAGCAAAAACAAACTCTTCATCGATGTCGACAGAAGCCAAGGGCGGTGGAGGGATGCCGAAGGGCAGCTTGACAGGCTCATCCACTGAGCTAACAGTTATGATGGTCTTGCCATGTGGAGCAGCTGATAGCGCCTTAGGAGCTGGGGGGTTGGTGGGAGCTGGCTGGTTGGGGTCGCGAAGCTCCCCAGGGGTGTTGTCGGGACTCACTGCCTCGTCCCTGTCGCCTTCAGACAAGCTGTTATCCTCCGATTTTGCCCCATCTGTGGTGTGTACCATCAGCAGGCCAGCTGACTTCTGCTGAGAAGTGTCCACAATGTCAATCAGCATGTTCTTCTTCTCCTCAGGCCTCTTCTCAGGCTTGCCCAGATCGAGCTGATACTTGGATTCAGTCTCATATTTGGACTCCGTCATCTGCCTCCGCAGGCCCCTGCGGGGACGGCCCATGGTAGCAGTACTTGAGAAGCCAACCTCCACATTTGGTCTAAGCTTTGTGTCAATAAAAAGAGGTTTATTGAGATCAAGTTTGGATGGGTCACTCTTTAGAGGAAGAGGCTGTGATTGCTCCCTCATGGCTCTGTCTCTGGCAGCTAACGCTAAAGCTAATGGTGAATTGGGGTCTAGTGGCTTGCCTGTTACCGGGTGAACATAATTCCCACTTCCTGAGCTGTAGGTCTTATGAGCAGGCAGACTGATCGGGCTGTGTCCTGTACGAGTGTTCAGAAGTTCCCTTACCATGGTGGGCTCAGGGCTGTTGAAGTCCGTCACATTGCCACCACCTCTAGGGATGCCAAGTAGTGATGAGGGAGGTGCCATGAGCCTACGCAGCCGCTCATCGCTGCTAAACATGCCCTCATCAATAGACTTGGAGTGTCTGAGACGTGGGGCTGGTGTAGGCACCACGTCCTCATCACCTGCATCTGTGGACTTAAAAGATGGGGAGTTGCGATGAGCATCAAGCCTTTTCTCCCTGTCTCTAACTGCACCGGCAATGGCAGTTGCAAAAGGACTGCCAAGATTTAAGCCATCTTCAGGACGGAGTTGTCCTGGGTGATCCGGTGTGGTCGTCTCAATTTCCATGCTGCTACCTTGACTGCTCTTACCGCTGCTGCTGGTGGAGGGCTCTTTATTATGGTCGGAATCGGGATGGAGCAAGTTTTCTCAGGACTGTCTTCTACGTTGGACTGCTTGACAAGCATTCCCTTCCTTCTGGCAGGCTTGTTGGGCACAAACAGTCCAGCTTGACCCATCTTGCCTAAATCGGAGTAAGGGTTCTCAGGAACTTGGGCACGGCGCATATGAAGACACTGTTGGGCCGTTGGGCTGTGATTGTACCCCTCGGAATCGTACTGTTCTGGACTGTCACTGTAATACATGCCCTGATCTCTCCAACCAGCACCTTCACCTCTGTCTGGGGCTGTGCTGTTTGCATTAGGACTCTGTGAAGTAAAGCCTGGTCTGATGGTGCCGTATCCTCGACCAGCTGGGACAGGAGCATTATTATGAGGTGGAGATGGAGGGGAGATGGCTGGTGGAGGTGGAATATCCTCTGATGTGTCAGGCATTGAAAGGCTTCTTGTAAATTTCAACATTGGAGGAGTAAGGAACTGCTTCTCTTCTTCGGTTACTCCTGTAAAGGGATGAAGAAAGAAAAATCAACAAATCAACAAGCCTGGGGGTGCAATCACCATCCAGAAACAATAAATATGACGCTACAAAGCAACATCTTGAAAATACGTCACATCAGTGAAAAAGCCTCCAGCAAGAGTGGGCTGACCACTGAGTGTAAGTAAACCAAATATTTGTATCATTTTACAAAGAGCTGAAAGACTTTTGTGTGCAATTCATCAAAATAAAGGACTGTGTAAAGATGTACTTCGGCAACAAAACAAAATGAAACAACCACACACCTATAGATGTTTGCCGCCGTATGGTTCCTTTTGGTAAACCCAGGAAGGGGCCTCTAGGACTCCCTGGCTGTTGTGGCGAGTCTACTGCTGTATCCTGACTATTGCAGAGAGACTGCAACAGACAGAATAAGGCCGACATAATAATAAGTACAAGCAGAATGCAGCACTATAGCAAAGCGTCCATTCAAACTAGGCTTCACATAATATGTTGAAATGATTTCATAAACGAGATTGAGATGAAGAAATAAAAATAATCTCAAGCAGTGAAGCATACTCACAAGCCTGTGCACAACTACACTCTAATTTAAGCATCAAAAACCAATATAGCATGCACGGGCAATGGTTTTACCAGACTTGCGAAAAGCGATTATTGCAGTTAGGCTACAATACAATTCTCAACAATGCCACGGGAGACCAAAACTCTAGAGGACATTAGACAAGGCATGCTTACATTAATTTCAGGGCTGACAGCAAGACACTTGCTAGTCGGACGTGGTTTGACTGCCGCCACCCTCACATCTGCATTTGAGTTGTCCCACATGGGTTTCTGGGGGGGCACAACCTCATCCACTTTATCTGTAAGACAACAGCATCTCAAATTAGAACGCAGGAAGCTACATTTAAAATAAGCTCAGTATCAAATATTGCTAATTTCCTCTAACAGGATCCTCAGAGCAAGGATCCAAACCGAGCAAGAGAGGCGACAGAAATAGGTACAATGACAATGGTCAAGGTCAAAGCCGTGCAAGCGCTTCCTGGTTCCGTTGTAGAAATCTTAGCACTTCTTTCAACGGCCACTGCGCAACATGCTAGCATTTTTTAGACGGCTCCCATGCATGGGATTATTACTTAGTGTGACTTGAAATACAATCCTCTTCTTCAGACCCTCATTATCTGAAAGCTGATCATCTATACAGAAATGGAGGAAAGGGAAATTCAGAGTCTGATTTTCCTAGCATAAAAGTCATCAAGACTGAATCTGCTAAGGTACACACACACACACACACACACACATAAACACACAAAACCCCATATACATCTGCCATTAAAATGGGTTTCATATCTGGATATTCTTTAACAGGACTTAATTTATACTTTATACTGTTCTTTGCAAATACACTTTACGTACTTTCGAAACATTTCCACAATAAAAGATGTTAATATGGTTTAAAAGAGAAAAGAAGAACATAAAGTTTAAAACTCACTAAAATGATTGACCAGAGTGCACAATCATAGTATTTGTTGTGTTGGATAATGATTGCAGTACAACCTTAATTATGCATTTTTATGCAGACAATAAATTGTGCATTATCATTTACACCTCCCCCTCAGTACGTGGTTTCAGAGATCCAATCACAATATGTCTTGGATGCTATTTATGTGGTCAAGTACTAATCTGGAAACACATGTTAATGTCAGGACTAAAGGGGGCCACAGTTACACCTCTTCATTCAGCATTAAATGGATATATACACTCAGGCTTTAAATATAAAATCCCATCATAACCCTGAGGCAAACCTGAATTTAAAAAGAAATAAATACTGCCAAAATTGGCCATTTCAGGAGTCTAGTTTATATTCATAACTGAAAGTCTATCTAAGACTGCAGGAGTATGCATCTGTTTTATAATCAGGGTCTCCTATATAATACCTAAATATGGATTTAAAATTAATCTCTTTAATGAACAGTATGTACAAAGCTGTTTTAAGGACACAGCAGGACTACTATGCAGCCAGCCACATTATGTAAACATAAAACTAATGCTTACAATGGTTCAGAAAATATCTCCTTCAAGAAGACAAAGGAGTCATTCAGCAGTCTAAAGATGTCATTTCATATCTGTGCAACAGTCACACGTCGTCATATTCATGGTCAATGCTAATAGTGGCGATAGCTTTACACTGAAAATATGGCATTACATTTTGCAGGTGGAATGTTTCTATATTAAACATATGCAGCATTATTTCCATGGCAACGTCTTGTTTCAGAGTGATTCAAAGCTGGAGTGGTCCCTCGTTTGATAAAAGTTAAAACATAGTTATTTAAAGGGAGAAATTATCTTAAAATGTCCAGCTTTAGGATTTGATCTTTTCTGTGAGGAGTGAAATGGAGGCAGGATCTATTATATAAGTAAGAACAAGGACTTGTATCTGAAGCCAGGTTTTCAGCATGGGAAATTCATGGCTCTTGTTTTCTCAAGCGTATCCTTTTTTATAATAGAGGGCAGGCTGTTGAATAATATATTCTTACATTGCACTTTTGAAAATCTAGGGGGTCAATAAGTGAAGCTAAAGTCTTATGGAGCATTTTGCAGTGTAAACACATGGTCTGTTTTCACAGTAAGCAGTCTTCCATTCAACTGGTAAATTTTGATTATTGGAGAGAATAAAAATTATTTGCACATTTCTTTTACTGAGTCATATTAAAAAAAAGTTCAATTGTGTGAGACAAATAATCACTACTGTTGCTAAGCTGAGGTGACAAATTAAAGAGTGCTTAGGGAAAACTCACCCTTCTTTTTCCTCAAAGTGGCTTTAACATAAAAGAACAATTCAGCTTTATTCAAGTATTAAGATTCAGAGAGAATTTCCAGAAAACATGACGAGGAGAACCAACGTTTGGAATACACTGTATTCCTCCACATGGCATTGACCTGTGCATAATGTAATGCCATTTTAGACAGAAAGCAACAACAAATCCATGCAGTTAACTCTCCAATACTACACGAGACAAATAGGTTAGTTTCCAATATAACAAAGTGACAAAAAAGACAATTAATTTCTTATTACACAATATAAACAAGAATTTAATTCGCATTTAATACTGCTTACCCTTTGTGCCATTGTTTAATTAGTAATAATAAAATCAGCATGACCCATCAAACCCTAGATTTAGCTATGGTCACCAGAATAAATCCTTCACAATCAAGGATCCACTCAGGTGAAATGCGTATTGCTTTAAAAGTGAATGTGAATGTACATTTGTTTTCTTTAGTGGGAACTACAAAAAAACTGAGACAAACAATGTCCATATAATCACAAATCCCCATCTTAAATATATATAACAAAGTCACATGCATGCCAGGGGAAGCACAACATTACAGTTTATACATACAAGTTTTAAAAGTAATATTGTAAATAATTGTATCGTACCGTTATCCACTTTTAGGTCAGCATGCAGGAAAACAAAACAACATCAAAGTTCATTTCATAGTGAATGGTGGATGTAGAATAACAACAAAAAGTGTCAGGTTAAAAACACATTTTTAGGGACCGTTCACACAAGACATGATTTTGAATTAGGGATGTCAACGATTAATCGACGATCGATTAATTGTCGATAAGAGATGCAATCGATTAAAGCTATCGATGGTCGATTAAGTCATTTAATTTTGGGCTGCGTGCGGCTCATGCGCAAAACACGTGCGAGCGGCTGTGAGTGACGGTATATAAATGCATCATCATTCATTCATAATGTACAAATTAAGCTTTTAATGTGATTTAAACTTTAAAAGTACATTTAAAATAGAAACAACACAAAGTTCTTCAACATGGAAAGCAATAGAAATGTAGTAACTAAGTCATTTCCCCAGATAATTGCTTCATATCGGGCTCTGCGCTTTGCAGGGCTGCGGGGACACAGGACAGATTGGCTATTCATTCCTACAACTTGTTAATTCGTTCCTACGACTTATTAATTTGTGGCCACTGTCCATGTTTCATCAATTTTGTTCCTTAAATAACCCATAATTTAAGTAAAATGAGGGAACAAATTAATAAATCGAACAAATTCTTAATTTAATTCATGGACATGAACTCTTTCATTTCCCTTAGATGCGAAAACAGTGATAAAAAGTGAATGACAATAAAATAAACCTGCGAAATTAGAGGGTTAGACGGTGAGGATTTAGGAAAAGAAACAATGCCTAAACATTATTGAATTTGTGGAAATTCGTGACCAACCGGCAGGGGCGGATTTAGTGAATTGGGGGCCCCAGGCAAAATATAGGAATGGGGCCCTATACATTTGCACACATTTTCCTAGATCAACCTTGAGGTTCCATTTTGTTGTTTTCAGCATAAGCCTGTGTGCAAAGGCTGTCTAATTCTAAACTTTAAAATACATTTATTTTTAGTTGTTTTAACTACAAATTTAAATAAAACTAAATTAAAATAAAAAAATAATGAAAAGGCAATTATAAATTTACACACCTAAAATACATATATCAAGAGCATGCTCACAGATGAGAACAAAAAATAAAGAAAACAAACGCTTTCTGCCGTCTCGGGCTTGAACAGGAGCGCTTCACAATGATGAACCTAAACTCAGACATGATCAAAATATATAGAAAGCTTTAAATTACTACTTTAAAACGAAATTTTTCAAATTGAAAATAGACTCCTAATAAAATCAACTTTCATTATGTAATCCGTGCATTTCTCTCTAAAGGCACATCCAATTAGGAGATGGGAGCGCTCGTGGTACTCACAGTGCATACAGCCATACACATGCAGGCGCCACAGACTCGGACGGTTGTCGTGGTAATAAACACCGTAAACGGGATGCTTTAAGGAAAATGTATAGCCTATGTAAGCAATAGACCTAAATAAAAATAAAAATTTGTTTTCATTAAAAAAAAAAAAACCGCGAAATATATCTGGCTTAAATAATTAAGCTAACAGATTTAAAACAGAAGTGTGGCGCGGCACTCCATAAACAAGTTTTTTTTATGTTTCAGCTGTTCGATCCCACCGGCGCCTCCCGCACTAGCATTTTATTCAGACTAAATCCCCTTTAAATCGGGTGAGAAAGCGGGGTTTTTTGTTGAGTAACTTTTGCACATCCTGTCATGCCGGGCTGCATAGACGCATTTTGCAGCATTAAGGTTAACGATTAATCTATTAATTGATCGTTAATTTAAACGACGATCGATCATGGAAATGATCGAAAATTGACATCCCTATTTTGAATTTAGAAATAACTGGACACGACTGAACTGAATGAATTTGTAAATTTTTTTAATCTTGATGTTATCTTAAAAAATGCAGCTCTCATGGTGTGAGACACCAAATACAAAACAAAATGCAATGCAATACCTTCCAAGACAAAATGCAAGAACACAACCTGTGTGAACGGTCCTTTATCTTGTAAAAATTTATTAAGTGACACCAGACATTGCATGAGATGCTTCTGCTTGGCATGACTGAGCTTACCTAGGTCTTCTAGCTCTGAGGTCATAGATTTTGAACGCATGGACAAGGCTGTGGAGGGAGCCCTCCGTGGTGGCGCTGGCGCTATAGCAACAAACCAAAAAAACATACAGCAGGTACAGTAGATGCTTAGCCATAGGCTGTAGCATCCCCATGGAGAGGCATTGTATACAACATCAACTCATGCCAAGGTTTGAGGATTCACATTTTAAATAATAAATGAGAGAGAAGAACTTGAAAACACAAATTAGTAGTGTTAGTAAAATCAATGATTAGCATAACTACCATTAGCATTATGGAAAAGCAATGGTTAGAATTACATGAAAGTTGTTGTGTCTGCAAACATTTTCAAACATATGACTAAACATGTTCCTTCATAGCCTAGATAGTCGAGAAATCCTGAATAAATCAAGACGTTTACCTTTCTTTCGAGCCGTGTCATCAGGGTCTAGATTTCGACTGACCGTCACCACTTTGATAATTAAGTGGTTGCCACCGTGACGAATCATGTTGACAACTTGTTTGTGGCCCACTTTGACGACATTGTCCTGATTCACCTACAAAAAAAAAGAGGAACAATTTAGAATGTTTCAGGCATGTTCAGATGTTTACAAAGCAATAATTAGTCAAATGCACTTCTCACAAAATTGCACTGTTGTGCACAATTAATTTCCTGCTTTTTGCTGTTTAAAAACACAATAAAATGGTTTGACAAACACATTTCTTTGTGTGTGTGTTTACATGGCTGGACATATCATGTGTTCATTTTGTTAAAAAAAAGTATTTTAAGTTACACAGCCAAACCTTAGCTAGTTCAGAATTGACAGCTTAGTGCATACTGCATATTTACTGTAAGTATATGGTGTCTACTTTCTATGACGTAAATAGGGAGATTTATAAAGATATTAATAATTTTATTCAGCAAGAATGCATTGATCAAAAGTGACAGTAAAGACTTTTACTCATTTACAAATTCTATTTCAAATAAATGCTGTTCTTTTGAACTTTCTATTTGTCAAAGAATCCTGAAAAAATGTTTCAAAAATGTAATCAGCATATTAGAATGATTTCTGAAGGATCGTGTGACACTGAATGGCTGCTGAAAATACAGCTTTGTCATTACATAAACAAATTACATTTTAACATGCATTAAAATAAAACAAAACAAAGTTGTTTTAAATTGTACAATTTTATTTCACAACATTACTGTTTTTACTGTATATTTGATCAAATAATGCAGCCTTAATGAGCATAAGAGTCAAAGGGTGAAATATTAATTTATTTTATTGATAAATGGAAAGATTCATTCTTATTCTAGAAAACATTTTATTGTACAAAAAAATCCACATGCCCCTGAGCAAATAGTTGTCATCAATATTTTGTCAATTATTATTATTTTTTTTACAAAAAGAAAAAAGCTATACTGTATAAATGCATATTTAAATTGATTTCATCAAACTTTAGAAGTACATTAGCATAAATATGGCATCAAAGCTACTAGACTAGGGTTGGGTACCGAACTCGGTACTTTTAAGGGTACCGACCGAATTGCGTCGGTACTACCGAGTACCGATTCACGTTAAATCAATCGGTGCCAAATTTCGGTACCTGAGAACGCATCTGGGCGCATCCGCTACAGAGAGAGAAAGAGAGACCCTGTGACGTAATGTCACCCCTGCAACTCGTTCAAACAACACACAGGGCAAGCCGAAATGTTCTGAAGTGTGGTTACATTTCTAGGGCCATATGGTTTGATATGATATGGAGTCCATTCATAAAAACGTAATTCACTCTATAGCGCGGAATGCCACGGAATTCGTCAATTTTGAACGTATAAATCAAAAGTAGCCACTGCCACTTAATTCGAATCGCGATATGAACTAGTGTCTGTGAATATTAAAATGCAAAAAGACGGTTTAAATATGAATCCTGCATGTTCCGCTTGCCTCTGTATGTATGAATGGCGGAAACGCAGTTTTGTTTACTATGCAAATACTGAAGCACGCGTGACGCTTGCGGTGATTTCCGGCCTCTGCATCTCACTATATGACGGCATGAACACAAAAACTTAATCTCCAGGGCTGCTGTGAGAGTCACTTCGCGAGAATTTTACCGTTTCATTTGAGAAAATCATCATCATCATACTGTATACACACAGAAACTTCATGGCAACCTGTAAAAATAAAAGTACGGTTTAACATGTAACAGAAATATTCTGTATGCATTACGGTTGTGACGGTGAGGAAATGTTCCCACCGGTTAATCGACGTCTGACAACACCGGTAATACCGGTATTATCACCGTCAGCACCGTCTATCGCGGCAAGCCTAGTATGCATCATAGTGGGGTAAATTTATTTTAAGCATTCAGCTACACGATAGGTTATAAACTCTTGCAGGTTTGTTATGGTCCCTGGCAATACCACAGAACAAGCATCAACACCAAAGTTAACCTAACCCAACTACATTTGTTGAAGCCCAGCTATCAAAACCTCATTCATTTCCCTACTGAAACCAACACAAAACCATTATTTTATCCACAGCATGTTTTTAAATATCCTTTTACCTTATAAATTTTCTTCATATACACTTAAACAGTCACAATTCCAGGGAGAGCTGTCATTGTAAAGGCATCAGAGGACGGTAAATCAAATTGGGGTTTAAATCTTTAAGTGGGACTTTCAATCTGCCACTGAGCTGTTACTGGTGAGCTCAATTACATTCAGCTACAGCAGAAATGATTTGCAAGTGGTAATAAAAGTGGTGATAACCGTTGATATATGTGCAACTTTCACCAGATATTTTCTCATCATCTCACAACAGAGGTGTAAAGTCCAATGACTCCAACCGGACTAAAAACATACTCTGAGGAAGAAACAATCTGCATTTAACATTTTTTACTTTTGCTGTGTGAAAGTGGAACACAAACTCCCACAACTATTTGAAGAGGTTTTTAAAAATATATTTTTTTGACATGAGTTACCAGCTCACAACTTTGGACCACAGAATGTTTGGAAACAGTACTGTATTTTTTTTAATTTTCTGAAGAAAACCCTGAAGAAAACTGAGCATCAAGACTCATGCCAGAATGTTGTGGGTGGATGCAAAGTCATTGCTATGGTGTTCAGAATGGTTGCTAGGGTGTTCTGGGTGGTTGCTAGGTGGTAGATTACTGACCTAAGCCAAAAATCAGCATTTTGTCTTCTAGGCAAAAATGGTAAGCCTGAATGTGTAGAAAAGTAGTATTACACCTAACATGCCACACGATTTGACAATCACAATTGTCCTTCCCAATCAAACTCAACCTAAATTACAAGCAATAGTAATAGTGATAGTCACCTTAGCAAGCAGCACTAATGACTACGATAAGACATTGATATGCTTTGATATAAATCGACAAATAAAAGGCACTGCAGGCAAATTAGAGGGACACCCCTGCTCCTGTGGCATTTCTCAAGCAAAACGAGAAACACAGGCACTACGAAACAGATCAGCAGAGAGAACATGAGAGAGACAGGTTTGGAGAGATTTTAGAGTATGCCTTTTACCGAAGAAAAGGTTATGTGAATAAGCTTGGGTAACCTAGGCGAGGAGCCGAAGTCGTCTTCATGACGAATAGAGCTGAGCTGCTCCTTTTATTCCATCGCGTGTGTTTGTGTGATTCATAAATGCTGTGAGTGTGATGGAGAGCAAGGGACTACATATGTGATTGTATGAGAGAGATATTACCATTTGTTCCAATTATATAAAATTAGCTTAAGTTAGAAAGCAAGCCATAATAAATGTGGGATCGGGAGTGAAAGGCCCACATGGAGAGCCAGGTCTGTTAGTAAAAGAAACAGCCTTCAACGTCAATCACCGTTATCTTTTCTACATCTCTCCTTATTGTGCATTTTCATACCGCGCATTCCAGAAGGCCCCAGAAGACATCATAACTCTGCATTACATCTTAGTGCTTGACCTTATGACAGATGATGTAAATTTAGAGATTGAGGGTGCTTTCACACCTGTAGATCGATTGCTTTGTTCCGAAACAGGGATTAAAATTATTACAATGTTGCTTTTTATTTTATGTGCGGTTCGCTTTCACACGACAAAGTGTCTAAACGGACCAAATTTGTTAATAAAAGTCACACGCGAGTAAACTCTTCATTCATTGGTCAAAGTTTCACGGTTTATTTTCCGGGATTCCACTAGCTGTCACAAACAACAAAGCTAATGATTTTCACGGAACTTACGTAATTACCCATTATACATTGTGATATAGCCTGGTTCGTTGGTCCGTTAGATCGGATTGCTTTCTTACTACAACCGAACCACTCCAGAGTCCATTTTCAATCAAGCCGAGACCACCTCGTTCAGGCGATCTCGGGCCGATTGTTTCCGTGTTCACATATGCCCAAACAAACCGAGCTAAGGGGGGAAACACGTCAGGTTCCGAAACAACGGGCCAGGTGTGAAAGCACCCTGAGAAGTAGAGAGAGAAAGCTCTGTGAATCATGAGCTCTAATCGCAACTCATGGCAGTGCAGATTTTTGCAGCTCTCTAGTTTTTGGTGAGTGCTGGAGGAGGGGGCTGGGCACAAATTTCCCAGCATTCTCACTGACCTCCAGTCTCTTGGCATGTCACACAATGGTAATGAGATTTGGGCTCATTTAGGAAGTGCTGGGACCAGATGTAGATAAAGCTCAGAAAACAGCTAAATCTCAGCATGGCCACTTCATCTTGATAATTTCATTATGCTGGAACGGAGCCAAATTCAACCAAGCTGAGCCATCAGTACAGGAACATGATTTTGTGTTGTTTTAGATATCAGGACATGGAATAATCGGTCATTCATTACTCACCCTCATGTTGTTCCAAACATGTATGTTTTTTCCTTAAGATACAAAAGGATAATTTTGAAGAAACTTCTTGCAGGTAAGAAGTGACCACAGACTAACAAAAAAGGAGTCTATGGCATCATTGGAGCAACATAAAGGTGAGTAAATAATGGAAATTCTGTTATAATTTGTTCACCCTCATGTACACTTTTAAAATAAAGGTTCCAAAACGTTTGCAGGAATGCCATAGAAAATCCATTTAGGTTCCTCAAATAACCTTTCAATGAACAAAATTAGCTGATTGCCGTGCATTATCCTTCACATATAGCGCAATCTGAACCCTAAACACGTTTTGTCAAAAAAGCCGGTTTTGTCCACTTTCAAGGCATCGCGAGTTCACGTTTTACTGCAGAAGCCGACAAGCGCCCTTGTTGTTTTTGAACAGAAACCGATAAGTCAATTTTAGCGAATCAGCGCGCTGTATTCTGGTCAGGTGACAAGGCTACTTAAAGACGTGCTAGCTGAGAGGAGTTTCATCAAAGCTGACTAAAAGTGATCGAGGATGGATAATTTTGACGAACTTGATGAACCTGTGATATCTTCTTCAGGGCGAAAACAGAAAATAAAAGCTGAAACGTTTTCACGGAACCTTGCAAAAGCAGTGCGTTACAATGGTGAGGGAAAAGCTCCGTGTATTGCGTGTAACGTTAATCACATCCATACAGTTTATAATCA